TTCCGGTTGCCTCACCCTCCAAGCCTCTTCTCCACTGGTAGAGATAAAGGGGTTTCTGGCCATCCTGAGTTCCTCCTCAAGCACTGTGCCTCCTCCCGTGGGCCATGCTTTACCCTGACTGTCACCTCCCAGCACGCTCCCCATTTTGTTCCACATGCATCACCATCTTATCTACATTGCTACTGCTTTTTTTGTTTTTCCAACTCGATTTATTTATTTTCAAAGAGGGGGAGAGAGAGGGAAAGAGAGGTAGAGAAACAGCGATGTGCAAGAGAAACATCAGTCTGTTGCCTCTCACACGACTGGCTGCAACCCAGGCATGTGCCCTGACACTGAACTGGCGACATTTTGCTTCACAGGTCAGTGTTCAATCCACTGAGCCACACCAGCCATCCAGGTGATGCTCCCCTAGAGAGGGAACTGCCAGGTGGTCGAATGATTTCAGGGCACGAATACTCCTGCCCCATTGCACTGAGGCCTCCCCCACTGTCCACTCCACCAGGCCTCCCTAGCTTGGCTGAAGTGCAGTGCCAGCAGAATGCTTGTCCTGAGCAGCTCCCAGCTTCATCCCCATTTAAGGCTAGCGGGAAATGGTGCGTGGCCATGCATGGGTCTGACATGGCCACTGTGGAGGCTGGGCTTCCTGAAGGCCCATCTGTGCCTGCTACTTGGGAGGCACTGGGCTGATCGGCTCGGACCCTGGGAGTGTGTGATCTCTGCACCTGTGGTAGGAACACCATAACCCCTAAAGCACAGGTGGCAAACACATGGCCTGCAAGCTGAATCTGGCCCTCCACCTTGTTTTATCCGGCCTGGCACCTTGTTTCTACCTGGTGGCAACGCAGAGCTCCTTGCCCCTAGTTAAGGAGTAGTTTACATTTACACAGTCCTAAAATTACATTCAGCCCTTTGAAGGCAACCACCAGGCTGATGTGGCCCCTGGTGAAAATGAGTTTGACACCCCTGCGAGGATCTGGGGAGTCTTGAAGCATTGCTGTGATGTTGCCTGAAGCACAACCCACTCAGGTCCCAAGTGTGACAGGTGCAGAAGTGGCAGTGCTGTGCCTGAGAATATCCAGGGGGTTACATTACCTGGTGGCTTGCTAATTTTGGTTTGAAGCCAGCCTAGAAGCTGCTGAGGCAACAAGGAAATGGGAAACAGGTAATGCCCAGGTCAGTCCGTCAGACCCTACTGGTCCTGGGACGCCACCTTCTGTCCTGCTCTGTAGGTGACTTAGCAGGGGCCCCTAACCTCGTGAGCTGTTGGCCCCTGCAGGGAGGAGCCAGCCAGGTCATGATGGTTATGTTTCCACAAGGAGCTCCTGAATTGCCAGGATGTACTGACTGCTGGGGTCTTGGGGCGATGCTGGTCCTGCCTTAAAGGAGCCTCTGATTTGGGCTCTGGCTGCTCACTCAGAAGACACTCTTGGTACCATGCTCACCTTCTGGGAGACTTGTGAACTTGAGGTGGTGCCTGCACCCCTGACACCATTACTGCCTTCTGTATGCACACACCTCCTCTCATTTAGTGCTGCATGTCCAAATCCTGCATTTTGTTACTATCTGTGCCCCATACTGTCAGTGATCTTTTACAGAAAGGCAGCTCATTCTTTCGTATTCATAGATGAGTTCACCATGCCCAGCACTCTTCATTGTCTGTAAGACCCATGTGTCCATTTGGTGTCACTCTCCCTCCTCCTGAAGAACTTCCAGAACCTTCCTTGCAGTGGAGATCTACTGCAAACAGACTGTCTCAGCCTCTGTCTGGAAAAGTCTCTATTCTACTTTCTCTTTGCACTGGATATAGAATTCTAGGTTGGCGGTGTTCTATCCCAGCCTTTAAAAGTTGTGCCTGTTACTGTTAATGGCCATAGACAGGTAGCCTGTGGGGAGTCACGTGTGTGTGTGTGTGTGTGTGTGTGTGTGTGAGAGAGAGAGAGAGAGAGAGAGAGAGAGAGAGAGAGAGAGAGAGAGAGAGAAGGTACAAAATGCTCTGTTGTTAACAAGGGCTTGGTCCTTCTGAAAGAAAGACACCAGGCAAGCCCATGTGGCCAAGAGCCTGGCTCCATAACAACAGTCAGGCCTTGTGTGGTCATGCACTTGAGGCTAGCCCACCCAGCATCATGGAGAGAGTGTGGGCTTCTAGGCCTCTCGATTGACCTCTCCCACATGAAATGTCTCCTCGAGGCCTTTAGGGAATAAGTGATGTTGAAACCAAGGAGTCTTCCAGATTAACTTGCTTGACAGCTACCAAGCCAGCTAAGTGCTTCACAGGTTGGCCCGCAGGGAGCACATGGTTGAGGGAGGGTAGACCAGCACACATGGGTGCTTGGGCTACTCCAGCAGAGTTCCTCTCAGGAGGGCACCCTTCCTAGTTCCCCTCCCCCCTTACGCTAAATCCAGCCTTGCCTCATCGCCATCATCATGGCCCCTGTTCCCCAAGCTCTGGAGCACAAAGGTTTTGCTGTGTGTGGATGGCACACATAGTACTAAAGTTGCCCCGACTGACCCCTGCATGGAGATATGGACTGAGTAACCTGGAAGCAAAAGAGCCAAGCCTCACTGCCCTCTACCACTGCTGTGTCCCTAATCTCTGCTCCTGCTTTGCTCCTGCTTTGCTCCTGCTGTTCCCTCCTTCTGCCAGAAACACCCTCCTTCCTGGCTTTGGTAATCAGGTGTTAGCAGAGAGCTTGTAATAATGACAGGCAGGGCTGCTTTGCCTCAGCGTCGTCTGTGCTGCTGTTCTGATGTCTTCTGTTTCCCTCATACCCACATTATATCACTCTTGCCTTAAACATGGCTGGGAGACAGGAATCTCCCCCTGACTGTTGAGGAATTTTCTCTGTGTTCCTGCAATATTGCTCAAAGCCCCCCGAGTCTTCAGTGAAGGTGCTGTGTAGGCCTGATCTGCTGATCTGGCGCACACTGACCTGCTTTTTCAGTCTCTTTAGTTTTGCCTTCTTGGGAAACATATGTAAATGGACTCAAACAATGCTTGAGGTCATATGTTGGCGCCTCTCACTTAGCCAGTGGCTTTAAGGTTTGTCCATGTTGTGTCCACCAGGAGTTTGTTCCTTTTTATTTCTGGATGGTTTTCTCTTATTTCTCTGCCTACCAACTGCTGGACATTTGGGTTGTTGCCACTTCTCAGATGCTAAGAGCAGTTCTGCTGTGCTTGTTTATGTGTAAGTTCTAGTACATTTGTCATTTCTCTTGGCTAATTCCTCAGACTGGAATTGCTGGGTCACGTGGGAGTTCTGTGTTTAACCTTTTAAGAAACTGCCAGACTGTTTTCTACAGCAGCCACATGGTGTGTGTTCCCATCAACCATGGACGAGGGTTCTGGGATGTTTACCCTTCCCATTCTAGGTGCACAGTTTGTATTTTATCGATGGTAATGGCACTGAGGGCTTCTCACCTGCTTAGTGGCCAGGTTTTCTTGTCTTCTTTTCATCTCTTAACCTAATTCCTAGCAAAGGCTACTTACACATTGCATCTCCAAGGACCCTGCCAGGATGAAACCCCCACAGGTGCTGTGCTTCTCATTTTCTGACCAGCAGCTGAGGCAGGGGTCAGGTCAAGGTCATGGTCATAGGTCGGATCAGCTGATCCTGAGTCTGCTTTGTAAGGAGCCTGGTCCCTATCTTACCAACACCAGGACCTCTGTGTCTGCGAAGGCTGGTTCCCAGTCTTAGATCAGGACAAGGGACTGGAGGATGGCTTTCTCTGCCCGCCTAGCAGTGTTCTGGGAACACAGTGTCCTGGGAAGTATGGGGTGGTTTGTGGGGCATCAGATCCCATGGGGTAAGTGCTAGTGCAATGAGTGACCCCCTCAGGTCTGCTTCAGACAGTGGAGTCCTTTGAGATACTTGGCGAAAGAGGGGGTTCCTGGTAAACAAATTATGCATGTGTGGCCCTCAATGTCCAGGCTGACTGAGCTGTCTCTCTCACATGCCCAGAGCATCAGCCCAGCAGCTGATGGACCCACAGGCTCCAAGAAGTCAGCCACCTATTAAGTCCAGGCCTGCCTTTTGGTTGGTTCTCTCCACTAGGATGGAGCCACTCCACTATTCCACCTGCTGTGGGCCTGACATTCTGGGTGAGGGGGCTGGCAGGCAGCCACTCAGGGAGGTACTGTAGTGGGGGCATGGGGGTGGGAGTCTCCCCACTCTTAGTAAGGCAGGGTGAAGGCCAGAGTGGTGGGCCCAGATGGAGGTAGGAGAGTGCAGCCCCCTGTTGCCGTGTGAAGGAGGTTGGGTAGGCAGGGGACAGGCTGGCACACAGGTGGATTTGGGCCCTGTGGGTTTGGGGGATGAGGGAGCGGGTCATGGCAACAAGCCAGGACCACGCTGTGGAGTGGTATCTGATACACGAAAGGTGGGCGCCCTGGGACCAAGGTTGGAAGAGAAGGTGCAGTCTTCTATCTGGATCCACATTCTTTCCGAAATTGCACCCGAAGGCTGATCTCTGAATAGCTGAAACTTTTTAAGTACTTATTTTGAGTTTTTTACTATATATATTTTTATGACATTTGGAAATTCTGCCACACCAGGCACAGTGACAAACTGCTCTGAAACTGTGACATTGGAGCTGGTCAGGTGTTGGGCTTCATCCTGCCAGTGGTGCAGGGGCCAGAATCACCTGTCGGCCTGCCTTCTAGCCAGTGGTGCTCACCCACCCTGATTTCCATTTGGAGGTGGTATCTGTGAGGCAGGGTGGCCTGGGCTGATGACAGTTTTAGGAGACCAGTGAGGAGCTGCCCACTGCTTGTGTCCCCACTCTTGCCACTCACATACCCTCAGCCCCAGTTCATTCAGGGAACTCCTATTGATCTTTCAAAACCCTGCTTCAGTGACCTTTCCATTAGCTTTCAGACACGTGTGTTTTCTCTCACCTTTCCTGAACACATGCTCCTTACCCCGCTCCTTAGGTAACTGGAAGTGAGGCTCTGGCTTTCCAGGTATCTTTATTTAGCGTTTTTCTCTTTTGCTTTTTTGCAGGATTCTGTTTCACTGAGACCATCAATTCGATTTCAAGGAAGCCAAGGGGTGAGTTGTTTTTGTGTTACTCACAACTGAAATTGTGAGACTGGTACGTCTGGGGCCTGTCATGACTCATTGGGCACAGCAGTAGTTGGGTGTAGAGTTTGGTCCCATCCACCTCCACTCCAGGCCAGTCCCTGTGCCAGGCTGAGCACCGCCTCTAGATGCGCCTAGGCTGGTCCGGGGCCCCCGTAGGAGATTTGCCCCTGGCTCCCAGGCCCCCAACCCTTGTTCTGACCTGATCTCTGCGCTAATTCAGCACTATAGCCCGAGCAGTGTCCTCTCTTGAGTGGGGCACTTGTTTCCCTCCATGGACCCAAGTCCATGGATTGTCTGTGTTTTGGAACTGGGTTGGGGGATTATAGAAACTCTGCCCTCATTTTATTCTGAAGTGTACTTTATTGCAAATGACGACGTTAACAGAAAAATTGGGGAATGAAAGAATAGGCAAGTTGTTCATAACCCTTTCCCTCCAGTTTTAGGGCCACCCCCCAGTGCCTCCCACCCACCAAACACTCGTTGGAACAATAGTTTTTCTTCTACTCTTTATTGGAAGCCTTTTGTTTTTATGAAGAGTTGCACCTGATGGCCAGCTGTGGGTTTGGGCCAGCCAGGGTGTTCCAGAGAGGGGGCCTCTAGGAAGCGCACGTGTCTGCATGTGTAGGTACGGGGATCCAAGATAGGCTTGTGGGGCAGGCAGGGTCTGGCACCACAGTCCACAGGGGGTGCTTTCTCCTCAGACAGACTGAGTTTTCTTCTTAAGATCCTCAGCTGATTGGGAGAGGCACACCTAAGCCATTGAGGGTCCTCTCCTTTACTTAAAGTGAGCTGGTCATGGATGTCATTGTGTCTGCAGAATGCCTCCACACACACCCAGATTAGTGCCGTGGTGTTACAGGAGCTGCGGCCTGGCCAGGGAACACACACACTGACCATCACATCAATATCATTCAAGGTTGGCAAGATATCCCAAAAGGCCCAGACAACCCCCACCTCCTTGTGCCTCCTCAGGAGCCTCTGTGCGCCCATTGGCCCTGTCAGAGTCTTAGGGTCACCCTTTTGCCACCTTTCTTTATTTTCCTTAGGAAATTTCTGGGGTGTTGGCAGGCCTGGCTTGGGCTGGCTGCCAGACTGGTCTCATGGTGCCTGCCGGTGGCCATGGTCACGCTGTGTCCTCGAGCAGCTGTGGGAAGATGAAGCCAGTGCACAAAAAGGGCCACTGTGGTCGGTGTTCACTTTTCAGCAAGACCCCACACAGCCACTCATAGATGCTTCATGAGGTTCTCCTGGGCTGTGCCTGCCTTATGTCTCCCAAATTCCTGTGGAAAGCCCGAGAGCCACATTGATTCCAGATGTGGGGTTCTACCACCTTAGTCTTAGAATCATGCTTGGCCCACCTTTTCTTCCTTCAAGGCTTTCTTTTGTCTAACAGAGTTTCTAGAAGATTTCAGCATGGAGGCACTGCTGCAGCTTAGGGCAGGCAAGGCTATGAATCTTCACCAGAAGGCTCTTCCCTGTGTGACCCTGTGTGAAGGCTGGGGTGGGCTGTGTGGCAAGGGCGTGCTCCTCTTCCCCAGCTTGCTACATAGGTTCAGGTGCTGGGTCTGCCTCCCTGGCATCTATACCTCCTCTTCCTCCTCCTAGGCATTGATGGGACATGTGCACACCTGGGCCTGGGTGTTCCCATGAAGTAAAGAGAGGGTTTTGCTCTGTGTGCAACACCCGAAAGGTTAGAGATGGAGCAGCAGGTGGGGTGTGGATGAAGGAGCAGGAGGGCAGCAGGGCTGGATGGAACATGCTCATTAGGGGTCTGGCTGATTTGATGTTCGGGGACCGATCTCCAGAGACCCATGAAAGTGACAGACCGAAGACTGAGACCCTATCTTTAGGCTCCTAAGCTCAAGGACCTTAGTTCTCTTTCTGTCCCTCATTCTCCTCACCCACCCCCAGATGGGGACCACTTAGAGGGTCATGTGCAAATTAACATGGCTTTAGGAGACCCATTGTACTCCCTATAGCCCAGGATGAGCTCACTTAGCTCCTGGTACTGTTCCTCCTCAGATGTGAATGTGGTGCAGCTGGAATAGGGTCACGGCATCAACACACCTCCTGGGTGGGTGTTGGGCTCCTGTGGCCACCTCATAGCCTAGACTGGGAACACCACTAAATCCAAGCTGTAGAAATGTGTAGCTGGGCCCCTACTTGACTGATTCCCTGGGACATTTCCCCAGTGTTGGCAGGGCTGGTCTGGGCTTGCTGCCAGACTGGTTCCATGGCGCCCTCTGGTGGCCACAGTCATCCTGTGCGCTCAAGGGTGTCCACCCTCCAGGGCTGTGTTTGCTAGAGCAAAACACTCACCTGTCCATTTGCCGAATACACATTTGCATCTGTGTTTTCTAGGCTCTTAGGAGCAGTGAGATATCTGGCCCTCTCCTATCAGGGTGTCATTTCTGAGTTGTTAACCCCTGATTGCTGGTAAAGCACCCCCACATAGCCAGCGCCACTCTAGAACTCTTCCATTGAAAAGAGGAGAGGTAGGGTTTTGTCCAAGGTGGCTCAGGACCTAAACATTTCCCTGGGCTATGGTGGGAGCATGAGCTGCAATTTCTAGAATAAGGTCTGACAGAGCTGCTCACAGACCTTTTGTCCATGTCTGTGAGTGAGGAACCACATCTGTTAGGATGTGCTCAAGATTGAGCCACAAAGTGCACGTTGTTGTGTCAGTGGCTACTTGCGAATATCTAGAATGTATCTACAGAATGGGGGTGTTGGAGTGTGGAGATATCACACACCAGGGTTGAGCAGCCAAGACCCCTGGGGCCTGGGGAGGGAGGTACGGGCAGACCACTGCTCTTCTGAGCCCCAAGAAGAAGAAGGGAAGGCGGTATGTAGAAAGGGTCTTGGGATAGGGTTTGGGGGGTGACACCTCCTACCAGGCCAGCAAAAAAAGGCTACTTTGCTTCTAAAAGGCGTGTTCAGCCGCAGTAGGAATTCTTTTTCCCCCACAATGGTTCCCTGGGAACAGAAATGATGAAGAAAACTGACGGTCTCTGAAAACCCCTCTGGCCAGAGGACCTGGTCAGTGGTATTCGGCTCCCATGTCCACCTATTTCTTTTCACCTGAACATCTAGTGCTGTTTTCTACTGTGTTGCTCCCACTCCCACCTAGGACTTGATTTATCTCTAGAGCTCCCACCTGCATTGCACGTGACCCTATCACGTGCAGGGGGGACAGTGGCAGTGGCTGACTCAGGACAGATTTCAAAGGGAGGAGGAGGTGAAAGCCTTTTGGCCAGGACTCTGCTGACCCCCGCAGTGGAGTTGGCGCCGCCTCCAAGCCTCAGGCCTCAGGCCTTGGAGGCACTGAGGGCATCTGGGATGGGATGAGAGTGTCTCCTCCTCCAGTTTGTCACATAGACACTTGCCCCCGCCCCCATAGCCTGGTGTCAGTGCTGTCATTAGGTGTAGTCATGGTAGCTCTGGGGAGGGGGCAGCTGAGACTCCGTCCAGAGGGCACACTCATGGCTGCTGCATTCCAGGCCATGTCCTGGAATGCACACCACAGTCTCCCCTGGCAGAGGCAGCTTCGCCTTCCTGAGCTGTCTGTGCCAGCTGGCTGGTTCCCAGAGGCTGGTCATTATTAACCAGCAACAACCCATTAACCCAGGATTCCACAGCAGTGGTACCACAGGGCTGGGAGGGGTCCCCAGCATACCCCTGCCCGTCCCCAGCTGTCTGGAGAACACCGGTCACAAGTGCCCTCTATGTGTGTGGTTTCCCTTGTCACTAACAGGACCAGGCTCTTCTGAACATTGGTTTCAAGCCCTGTGTCACCTGCTGCCCTGCACAGACTGGCCTCTGGTTCTGTGCTGGGCCTTCCCCTATCCTGGAATGGACTTTGGAAGTGGGCATATGTGCCTGGGTAGAGAAGGCCCACACAGGGTGAGAGGGTCAGAGTAAAGAGTCCCCCACCCCCCCACCCAGGGGGCAGCATGGTGGCTGCTCCCTACACATGCTTGGGTAGGGTGTCTGCAGCGTGGTGGGTGGGCCTCTATGCACGTGGCAAGGTCCCATCTTCAGCTCTCAGCCAGGCTGCAGGGGGTGTCCCAAAGCTGTCACAGGTGGCTTTGTCTTGATCCAACGTGGGCTGTGCTTGTCAGGGTAGTGGCTGCACAGTAGCAGAGCTCTATGTTGCAGCTGAAGCCAGAGTGCACCTGCTCGCCTGGGTGGGGCTGCACGAGCTGATGGGTGGGTAGGTAGGGTGGGAAGTACCCAGGGCCAGGAGAGCCTTGGGGCTCAGGCTGGATCTCCCTCTCTTCCTCTTAGGGGTGACAGCTCAGTGGGGACTGACAACCTCTGCAGCCACTGCCCCCTGAGCTGAGACAGAAGAAAGATGCTGCCTGAGGAGTCCAGGTCCCTCCAGACCAGGACTGGGTTAGGGAGAGGATCAGAATGGGCAAGGAGGAGCTGCCCATATTGGGCTCAAGTTCCTCGGAAACCCATTTTCATTGTGCTGGCTGCTGCATGGGCTTTCTGCCATGTTCTGGGTAGCTGTGTGCAAAATATGTGCCCGGCTGTGGTTGAGTCTCCCTTGTGACCTTCAGAACCTTGTTCGTGGCCACAGGGCAGTGGGTGGAATCTGTATCCCCATGGAGGAGATGGAGAGGAGGTCACTAAGTGGTAGCAAATGTCAGAGTATCTTGGCTGCCCAGCATGCCCTGATGGCTTCTGACTCCCATCTTGTCCCATTTTTCCTTTAAGGTTGTCCTGTTTGGTGGGTGGGGAAACTGGGTCATGGCCCAGATCTGGGTGGGGTCCTTGCCTCAGGGTGCATGTTGAGTGCTCTGCACTCCCTGGGGTCCTGTCACTGCTGGGAAAGCAGAGGTATGTTTTGAAGGAAAGTGCTCTCATCTTCTTGTCATAAGGGTGACACTGTGTGGATGGGCAGGGCCCAGCAACTGGCCTCTGCCATGACCCCCTCCATGCTTTGGATTCTTGGTGACACTTCCTCCCCATCTCTGTGCAGCACATCTCTGTCCCCCAGCCTGACTGCCCCTCAGAGGCTCGGACCTTCTCCTTCTACCTCTCCAACATTGGCCGTGACAGCCCCCAGGGCAGCTTCGACTGCATCCAGCAGTATGTCTCCAGGTGAGGCCCAGAGGAACAGCCCTGCCTCCCCACCTCTCCCTTGGGCCCTTCCCCCCAGCTCAGACCACTGTGCAGGTGTTGGCCTACCGCTTCCAGCCCAGGAACCCCCTTCTCCCAGATGAGCTCCTTTGACCCCTTTCAGTGTGTCCAGGCTGTTAGGTCCTGGCATTGTGCCTCTGACCCAGGAGCCTGGGTCCCCTTGTTTCTTCTGGGTTAAGATGTGCCTTGTGGAAACTGTGTGGTTCCATCAGTGCTGAGCCTTGTTTCCTGGTGGGGGATGGGTGGGGTGGGGACCCCAAGACCATAGCTCCCTGTCTCCCAGGTACTCATCTTGGCTCCTGGTCCCTTGTCTTACAGCCATGGGGATGTACACCTGGACTGCTTGGGTAGCATCCAGGACAAAATCACAGTGTGCGCCACTGACGACTCCTACCAGAAGGCACGGCAGAGCATGGCACAGGCGGAGGAGGAGACGCGGAGCAGGGGTGCCATTGTCATCAAGGCCGGAGGCCGATACCTAGGTGAGGAAGGGGACCTGGGGCTCCTACCATGAGGGGCTCTACTTGTGAGGGGATAATTCCTGCCAGGCAGCTCTTAGGGGAGCAGGAGACATAAAGCCCCCCCCCCCCAGGCCAGGGGTAGGAGTGATGGGTGACAGAGGTATGGCCCAGCCCCTGAGCAGAACCAGCCAGGTCCATGTCAGGTCAGGAAAAAGTCCTGCTGAGTCAGGTGGGGGCTATGCCTTCTACTGCCTCCGAACCCTCAGGTGGACTCAGGATCCAAGAACTGGAGGAATTTGAATCTGCAGCCTCTCTTCCAGGATGTAGCCTTAGGGGCCTTTACCTGTCAGGGACACGCATACGTGCTCCATGAAGACAGGGTTGCCATACGTTCTTTGGCTGCCACCCCTTCTCATCTGCCCAGCTGACTCCTCACCAAGTCCGAATGGCCAGCATGCTCCAAACCGCCAGATGCACCCCACGGTGGCTTGCTGCTGTGTTGGGGCTGGTGAGGGGGTGCTAGGTTGAGACCTGTATGGAAAGGTCTTGATCCCTGCTTGCCAGGAAGACTCCAGCAGCTCAGCATCTGCTCGGAAATAATTTTGGTGAAATTGAGACACCCAACAACATTAAAAATAGGGAGAAAAGTACAATTTATTCAGAAAGCTTATCGTCCTGCTGTAGTCTTTTCACCTTTTGAACCTAGACATAGTTGAGGAGTTATAAGAATTTATTGCCAGGGAGAGAGGCATCAGGCCAGAGAGGCATGAACCAGCTGACAGCAAAGAAGGACTCGGTGGCTTTGTGTTTTGTTTTGTTTTTTTAAGAAATGGCAGGAAGGTTTCACATCTCCCCGCCCCCACCAAGAAAGCCTGGCTTCCTTTGCTTGGCAGTGGATTTGCTCTGAAGGACATCCCTATCAGTCAGTGCTGAGCCCCAGGGGACAGGGCCACCAGCCACTGGGCCAGAACCAAACAGGCTTTGCCCACTTTCTTTTCCCTCAAGATGCGAACATAGACATTCATACAAATTTTAGTAAATTTCTGGATCCTTGGCCAAAAACTTGGTCAAGATTTGTCTTATTGGACCACTCCGTATATATAATGAGGGTTTTTGCCACAGTTTGCGTTCTGATGGAAGCACTCATCCAGCCTCTTAGGTTGTTGGCAGGCATGTCTGGCTGGGCCTGGTCCCCACCCCATGTCATCCTGTCAGCTGGGTTCTCTAGGGACAGAGTCAGGCCCTGAGGACTCAAAAACACTCTTTCCTGTGTTAATCTGACTAATCCAATTTGAGGGATAAGAGCAAAAAGAAATCATCGTGGGGAATTTTTTTGGCCCAAGGGTTTGGGGCATACGCTGGGCCATCCATATTCTCTCAGTAGTAGGGGTGCTGTGCAGGACGGAGTTAACCTCCTCCCTCGAGAGCGGCGCTCACTGGCTCGGAGGGTGCAGCCATGCCGGGCCCCACAGTGTGTACCAGAAGGATGGGCATTGGCCTGCTGCCTCCAGGGCTCTGAGCAGAGTCATCTGCCTGAGGAGCTGCTAACATCTCAGGTTCTCCAGAGCAGCTACCCGAATAGCTCTGACACCTTTATTTCCTTTTTTATAAAAGGAAATGGTGGGTCCCATGGGGTCCTTGGTAGGTCACGCCTTCCCACTCCCCATTTTAACATCACGAGGGCTCATAGACCAGTTTCCTCTCCCTGTGGTGGTCAGTGTTTTTGTCCCCAGGATTCGTGTTGCCCGTGATGAGTCAGTTATGACCCTAAATGTGCTTGTACTTCTTCCACTCTCAGTTCTGAGCCTGCTGGTGCCCAGCGAACTGTATGTGGCCAGCAGGTGGCGCTCTCAGCCACTTTGGATTCCCACCAGGCAGGCTAGGTGGGACATGCTGGCTTAGCAGTCACGGGTGTAGTGCTGTTGCCCATCACTTTCCACACTCAGGAACTTGGCATCAGCCCCAAGCACTGGAGCACTGTGCTTCACTCCCCCCCCTTCTCCAATCCTTTATTTAACATCCTGGTTCTCATTGTAGGCAAGAAGGTTCAGTTTAGGAAACCAGCCCCAGGAGCAACAGATTCTGTGCCCTCCCGGAAGCGGGCAACTCCCATCAACCTGGCAAGTGCCATCAAGAAGAGTGGTGTTAGTGGGGGTAGTGGGGTGTCTCAGAGACCTTTCCGTGACCGGGTGCTGCATCTTCTGGCACTGAGGCCCTACCGGAAGGCGGAACTGCTGCTGCGGCTCCAGAAAGATGGCCTGGCCCAGGCAGACAAGGACACGCTGGACAGCCTTCTCCAGCAGGTGCATGCTTCCTCAGGGCTGGCTGGGGGAGGGGTGGGTCCAGCCAGCCTGTGAGCACCCTTTGCAGATGGTCTGGACACATGGTGGGCTGGGAGTGTGGCATTTACTGTCTGGGGGCTTACGGGTCAGCTCAGAGAGGCCAGCGCTGTGCTCCTTGACATCTGCTAACGTGTGGAGATCCAAGATTTCAGTTGTACAAATGTTTTAGAACTAAGTGACACAAGGGATACACACTTGTTAGTTAGCAAAAACTAGGGTTCAACAGTTAGGTGGGCCTCCCTGCCAGTTACCAGCTGTGACTCTGGGCAGGAGGCTTCACTTCTGAACCCTCTAGTTCCCATCTGTGGCTGGGGCATGACTGCAGCACCTCACAGGGGACTAGGGCTTACCTGGTAGGAGCCTGATGCTGGCAAGTGGAGCCTGCTGCTGAAAAACAGCCTGTGCTTTGGAGTAAGAACAGTGAGCCCAGCCACCTTACTGAGCCCCTGCTCTGGGCCCCTCCCAGGGCTCTTGGGGCATGCTGCTGGAGGACCCTGGGAAGCGCGTGGCTTGCTCTGGCTTCACCACATCAGCTAGGCCATGCAATGGTGCTTCGCTCTGTTGCCACGAGGACAGTTCTGCCAGCAACCCGAGGAGGAGGTTCGGTCAGGCCTCTCTGGGTTTCCCTCTACCAGTTCACTTGTCCTTGCTACTTTCCACCTCTGAAACTCTGGGCACTCACCCAGCATCTCCTGGGGCAGAAAGCCCACACCAAGGTGGTAGCTGTATCTGAGAATGAAGTTTCACATTTGCCAAGCTCTTCAGTGGGCCTCCAGGTGTTCTTCCCCCTCCTCAGTGCAACTCAAAGCTCTAATGATCCACACAGCACATTTGGTAGGAGGATGTTGGCACCTGTGCTCTGGCTGGGGTCCCTCGTTACCCTTAATCCCCAGAGTTCATGGCAAAGGGCAGGCATAGGGAGATGAGGCCTCTGCGGTCTTCCCCTATTGGAAAAGATAAAGCTTCAGTCCATGTGTGGTTGCATATCTGGGCTGGGGCCCAGGCCCACCCATAGCCACCAAGGGCCCATGGGCAGATGCCTCCCCACCCTTTGCTAGGAAGATATTTCCTGTGTCCCAGGGTCTATCACCAGGATGTTGGTGGCTCCCCTGACCACTCACTGGGTACCTCTGTGGATTTGGCCTCCTGAGGCACCATCCCCAGATCATAGGTCATGCTGGCAGAGACCAGGCCACGGTTTTCTTCCTGAGAGTTCACGAGTTGGCTTGGAAGTTAGCCAAAGCATCCAGAAAGCTCCAGAACCAAGAACAACCTTCCCAGGGAACTCAGTTCCTTGGATAGTCAAATGTGTTGGCTTTGTCCTTGGGAATAAAAGGGAAGCATACAGAAGGCCCTTCCTTGGGGCTGGGCACCCCCAGAGACCAAGGAGGGGAGTCTGACAGCTGTCAAATGTGAGTCAGGACTAAAGACACCAGTGGGACCCATGCCTGCCCTTGGACATGCCTGCAGCCCTCAGTGCTGCCAGCTGGGCCCTCAGCCTCTGGTGTGGTGTTCTTAGCAATGCCCTCACTCCCGTCTTCCTCCTTGTGCCGCTGTTTATGCCTAGAATGAAGAAGAAACAGGAGAGCACCTTAGATGCAGAGGGTGAAACTTTAGCTGACTGAGCACATGGTTGCACCTGAGGTTACCCTCAGAGCAGCCCTCAGACACAGCAGGACACCAGGCTCCTTTTTCTGGAGAGACAGGTCTGGAGGTTCTGATAGGGACCTGCCCAGAGCACCTGCTTTATCTCTAGTTGTCTCCCACCCCCCCAACCCCCCTTGCATGCTCTCATTGCTCCAGGCCCTTCTGGAACCAGGCAGGCACCATGCTGGGCTCTGGTTTCTCTGCTCAGCTTGGGTTGGCAGCCTCTTGGAGGCAGCCCAGCCAGCATATGCAGGCAGAGCATCCTGCTCTGATTTCTCTTGAATGGCTCCATCTGCCTTGTGCTTCTGTGTTCACTCTCCACCTAGCCCTCCCCAGGGGCAGTAGGCCCCTGTCAGCATGGGGAAGAGGAAGATCTCTGGGAATACTGTGGGCTGCTCCTCACCCAGGCTGTCAGCCTCCCTGTGTGCCCAGGGGCTCTGATGAGCAGACTGACTGTGTTGTGCTCCTCAACTGAGCCTTCTCTCTTCCTTCTGTGGGAACATTTAAGGCAGAGATTTAAGGCATCTGTCTCCAGTGCTGGGTGGGAGTGTTGATGGGTGGGAGGCTCTTCTGGTGAGCATTTAAGCAAAACGTATCAAAAGCTATAAAAATGTTCAGAGCCTTTGACCGACTAATCCCACTTCTGGGAAGCTGGTTGAAGAAAACACTGCCTGCGTGGAATAGCCTGCACACAGTGACGTCTGTTTCTGCTGCAGAGAAATTGGAAGTGTGTCAGTGTCCAACAAAGGAAAAACCTTAGAATGAATCACAGTTAGCCATTTGGTGGAATATTACTCAACTGTTAAAAAACATTCCTTGTGGAAATTGCAGTGACGTGGTCCTCTTAGAACCTAGCAATAGGGAGGAATAGCAGCATATGGCTACACGTGTGTGTGCGGCAGACCAGGGCGTCCAGTGCACCCAGCGAGACAGTCACAGAAGTGCCTGCTTTAGGGCAGTGGCCTTCACACCTTCAAGCACCCTTAAAGCAGATACTTTAAATCCATCTTTGAAAACCATGTTGGAGGCCAACTCAGCCTTTGTTAACCAGTGGGAGCAGAGCTGTCTGCTGCATGGAATGTGGGGTCAGTTTGGCCTCTGGATGCCCCCCTCACCCGGCATCCCCAGCCTCAGCCTCACCCTCTGTCCTGGGAGCTGCAAATCATAGTGGAGAGGTCTTCATCCATTCGAGCTACTCTAACAGTCACATGGACTGGGTGGCTCAAACAACACACACTCACTTCGCGCAGTTCTAGAGGCTGGATGTTCAAGAACAAGGTGCCAGCAGATTGGGTTGCTGGTGAAGGCCTCCTTCCTGGTTCATAGACAGCATCTCCACACTGCCTCACACAGCAGGAGGAGCAAGGGAGCTCTGGAGCCTCTTTTATAGAGACTAATCCCATTCATGAGGGCTCACTCTTAGGACCTACTCACCTCCCAAAGGCCTCACCTCCAAATACTATCACATAGTGTGGCATGAATTTCAGGTGGATATACTCATTCAGTCCATAGCAGGGGGATAGGCTGGTGATGGGGTTTATAGATAGCACCCCTCCTTTTGGGAGCCAGGCTGTCCCCTAGCAACTGTAAGATGTGTGTTTCAGGACCTAGTGCAGAAGAGCTGGGTGTAGGGTGCTGTCTTTCTTTCCAGGTCCATGTTTTCCTCCATGTCCCCTACCCTCCAGGCTTCCCACAAGCTGATGATGGCTCTGTGTTGCAGGTGGCCAATGTGAGTGCCAAGGACGGCACATGCACACTGAAGGACTGTGTGTACAAGGATGTGCAGAAGGATTGGCCTGGCTACTCGGAGGGGGACCAGCAGCTACTAAAGCGCATGCTTGTCAGGTAAGGCCACCTCCCCTGGGCCTGGGACAGATCTCATCACCAGAATGCTGGGGTGGCCTCGTCTAGTCCCAAAGGCCTTGGGGCCCAGAGCCAGGTGGAAGGGTCCTTGGGAACTCTCTGACAATCTTCCCCACTGCCTGAGCAGTCCACCTTGGCCTCCTGCTAGGGGAAAGGCCAGCCCCTGATGTGGGGTAGAAGGCATGTGGCACTCTCACCAACAGCATGGTGCCCAACAAAGGCCTCAATCCAGCCAGACTGTTTCCACTGCCCGCCTCCCTTCCCGTGAAGCTTCTTTCTCAGAACCTGTGAGTCCTCAAGGGCTTCTGCTTAGGAGACTGTGCCTCCTCCTTGGAACCATTTAAGAAGCAGAGAAAGTTAAAGCTCCCCACAGATGGGACTAAGCATGTTAATTAAACACGTCCCCTCTGGGGTCAATTGGAACTAGAGGTCAGGAGTGGCTTAGGGGGCTTTGGGAGGAGTGAGTAATGGCCAGGGACTGATTCCTTTTGATTGAGGCCTAGCCTGGGAGCTGGTGGATTGCCGAGCACCTATATTTTGCCGCGTATAATGCGCTCCTGTGTATAATGTGTGCCCATGTTTTTGGCCCAAACTTTCAGAAAAAATCTTTTGTTTTAATTTTTTAATTCAATTTTTTACTCATTTATATTTAGATACTTGTTTTTTGTATTATAAAGAAATTTTCGCATTTATTTTTTAACACATTATGGTACAAGAAACTTTATGTAGCAAATTATTACAAAACACAAGAACATATACAAGGTATTTCAGGAACTACCCACGTATAATATCCATCCTTATTTTTCCCTCAAAAATTTGAATGTGCATTATGCATGGCAAAGTACAATAATACTTAAATGATTACTTAGGGACATGGAGCGCTTTATGAAGGCTGTTTTTATTGTTTTTTTTTTTAAAGATTTTTATTTATTTATCTTGAGAGGGAGAGAAACACCAATGTATGGTTGCCTTTCATGCGTCCCCTGCTGGGAACTGGCCTGCAGGGAACCGGCCTGCAACCCCAGTATGTGCCCCAACTGGGAATCGAACCTCGATTGTCTGGTTTGCAGGCCCCGGCTCAGTCCACTGAGCTACACCAGCCAGGTGTTTTTATTGTTGTTGTTTGTTTAATTCAGCTCTTTACAGGAGTAATTGCGTCTGGAAAGCCGAACTGAGTTGGGGCGGGCCAATCTAGGTGAAACCCAAGTTTCTCCTCACCCCTGCCCCTGCTCTGGCTGTCTGAGGTCCCTCGGTGCTGGGGAGCTGAGAGCAGACCGTCTCTGTAGAAGAGATGCCCTCTCCCATTTCCTATCTCTGGTGGTCTTCTGTTGCCCCAGCTAAACATGGCAGGTTGTCACTGACCCCTCCTGCAGGCGTTTTCACTCATCATAGAATTTTTGGTAAAAGGTCCAGTGTTAAAATGGCTGATTACTCTCACGCAGTTGCTTTGAATTGGCATGGGGCACTTAAGGGGCCCAGTGAGGCTGCTCCTGTCTGTCTTTCCTTCCAAGTCTCTCACCAGGTTTCCGGACCCCAGAGCCTTATCCTCACTGAGCTCCCAGGAAGGGGCATGGCTGAGAGCAAGTAGCCTGTGGGCTTATTTGCATATAAGTGTGTGCACACACATACACGTGTTTGGTTGGTAGGAAACAGTGAGAGGTCCCCCCGGCCCTGTGCACATCCACATGGACAGCCTCACAGGTGATTTGGGGGCGAGAGGGCACTGTGGCCCTTGGAGTCTGAAATCTCGCCCTGTCCTTCTTTATGCTTCCTCTGATTCTGCCACCAGGGCACTGTGCTCTTGGACTCTTCGCATTGTCTGCCTCTTGTCTTTTCTCTTTTTTCCTTTAGGAGATTTCTTTGGCTTCTCCCATCCTGTCTTTTGGCCATCGCTTTTAGTTCCCAAGAGTCCTTCCAGTAGTCTTTTTGCAGCATCGTGTTCTTACCCATGGAGTGATGCCACTTCTGATTTAAGGATTTTTTTTAAATAAGTCATTTTTTAAAGATTTTATTTATTTATCTTTAGAGGGGAAGGGAAGGAGAGAGGGAGAGAAATATCAATGCATTGTTGCCTCTCATGTGTCCCCTGCTGGGAACTGGCCTGCAACCCAGGCATGTGCCCTGACTGGGAATCGAACCACAATTGTCTGGTTTGCAGGCCCACGCTCAATCCACTGAGCTACACAAGCCAGGGCTGATTTAAGGATATTTGTTTAAAACAATAGCTTTATTGAGATACAATTAACTTAACACAAGTAACTCATTTAAAGTGTACAACTTACTGGTATTTAGAATAGTCACAGTGTTGTGCAGCCATCACTTCTAATTCCTAGAAGATTTCCGTCACCCCAAAGGAGACTCTGTCCTCATTAGCAGTCACTCCCCCATCTCCCCCCACCCCCAGCTCCTGGCAACCACTAATTTGTTTTCTGTCACTGTGGACTTGCCTGTTCTGGACATTTCATATAAATGGGGTCATATACCACATGGCCTTTTGTGCCTGTGATATTTTTAAGGTTCATCCAGGTTGTAGTGTGTGTCAGTGCTTCATTCTTTTTATGGCCAAATAACATTCTGTTATGTGGTTGGGCCACATTTTATGGATTCATTCATCTGTCGGTGGACACCTGGGTTGTCTCCACCTCCTGGTGTGATTGTGCTGCCCTGAGCATTTGTGTCCAAGGGTTTGTGTGAGTGTGGATTTTCAGTTCTCTCATAACATTACACATAACATTTTTTCTTTTTTCTTTTTAGATTTTATTTATTTATTTTTAGAAAGAGGGGAAGGGAGGGAAAAAGGAGAGAAACATCAATGTGTGAGAGATACATCGATGGGTTGCCTCTCGCACGCCCCCAACTGGGGACCCAGTCTACAGTTCAGGCATGTGCCCTGACTGGGAATCGAACTGACGACCTCCTGGTTCACAGGCCAGCACTCAATCCACTGAGCCACACCAGCCAGGGCCACATACCATTTCTTAAGCTTTAAAAACTTTGTATTTATTTATTTTAGAGAGAGAGAGAAACATCAATTTATTGTTCCACTTACCTATGCATTCATTTGGTTGATTCTTGTATGTGCCCTGACCTGGGATCGAACCTGCAGCCTTAACATATAAGAGCAGTGCTCTGACCAAGTGAGCTACTTGGCCAGGGCCTCACCATATGGTAATTCTATGATTAACTTCTTGAAGATCACTGAACTCTTCTTTAGTGACTGTACCATTCTACATTCCTACCAGCAGTGCACAGAACTTCCAGTTTCTCTACATATTTGCCAACACTTTTGTTTTTCATTTTTGAGTCTAGCCATCATAGTAGGTATGAAGTAGTATCTCATTGTAGCTTTGGTTTGCATTTCCCAGATGAAGAACAGTGTTGAGTGCCCAGTCATGTGCTAATTGGCCATTTGTATATCTTCTTTGGAGAGATGTCTATTCAAGTCCTTAGTCTTTCTGAAGATAGTAGTAAGACTGGTGTTTTTGTTGGTGAGTTAGTTTTCATGCCCTCGGTCTCTCTTTTTTTAATGAATTTTTCTATTTTGGAGCCTGACATTTGTTGCCCAGAAGCCCCAACCTCCTCAGGACTTCCCACTTGGCGACCCTGACTCCTCTGGAGGGTCTCTCTGCTTTCTCTTTTCCCAAGGCCACACGTCTGTCTCTCCTGTCCTCCAGACGTGACCTGAGCAGCCTCTCAGTGCCTGGAGAAGGCCTGGGTTCCTTCTCTCCGGGACGTGCTGCAGACTCGGCAGCAGACCAGGTCCCAGGGCAGGGCTGTGTGGGAACAGCATGGCTGGAGCTCCTCCTTGGAGGTCCCTGAGGCTCCAGCCCTCAGGCCTCAGGATCATAAAGGACAGACACCACCTGTGCTGCTTTAGTGTTGAATGCTGTTCTCTTTTCCTGTTTCCTCTTCATGTCTTTTTAGTGGGGGACTTGAAAGAGAGTGGACAGAAATGCCTGTCCTTGGTTTTCAGTCTTTAACCAGAGCTCTGGTGGCCTCCCTGTGGCTGGACAGCAAACCTGCCCCACCTTGGCCTTGGGGACCATGTTGCCTAGTGAGCTCCTGCATGTTTTTTTTCTTCATCCTCATCTGAGGACATGCTTACTGATTTTAGAGAGAGGGGAAGAGAGTGGGGGAGAGAGAGAGAGAAACATCAGTGTATGGCAGAAACATTGATTGGTTGCTTCTCGCATGTGCCCCAACCTGGACCAAACCTGCAACCTAGGCGTGTGCTCTGACTGGGAATCACACCTGTGACCTTTCGGTTTGTGGGGCATGGGACGACACTCCAATTAACCAAGGCATACCAGCCAGGACAGGTACCTGCATGTCTTGGGTACCTTTCCTGTGGCTCTTGCTGCATTTTGGGCCACATGCAGGGGATAGCACCAGTGGTCTGGAGTGTGGCCCTTGGGCAGGGAGTCAGGCTTGCTTGTCACTGATTGAGCAGCACAGATGTGGCCTCTGAGCCCCTGGATCTCAGCCTCCCTGCAGGTCAAGGAGGGCCCTCAGCACCACACATAGTGCCAGGGTCCCTGTCAGGGCCTACTTTTGCTCATTAAGTGTTGGGGTGTCTGCCTCTTCTTTTATTCCTGGCTGCATTGTTCTACTCAGGTCCAGGTGGGTCAGTGGCCATCCTTCTGATCCACAAGGAGATGCTGTGGTCTGGGCCCCCAGAAAGGCAGGTACTGAATCCAGAAGCCCTTCCTGTCACAGACCAGGGCATCTTGGTACTCTTCTACATTCTGTAAAGTTTCTACAGTGAATATCATTATTAGGATGAACAATTGAGAGGCCAGCACCCCAGTGTCCCAGCTCCCTTGGGTAAACAGTACAGACATTGAGAATTTGGTCAATTCTGCATGGTTTCCTGGTTTCCATGGTAACAGGAATCTAGATGAATGGATTATCGATTGACCCTTCTCTGGGCACAGGACACCCAGTAGGGCAGTCCTCTGGGTAGTGAGGCCACAGCCAAGGGGCAGCTGTGGATAAACCTAGGGCAGGATATGCTCTGGCGGCTCTGCACACCAGGTCCTAACGTACTCATCATACTTGCCCTCCTCTGGTTCAGGGCAGCAGCCCATCCCCAAATCACTCAGGGAAGGTAGGACCGTGTGGTGTCTTTGCAGAGACAGGTGGGCCTGGGTACACCCTGTGGGTTACTGCTGCAAGCCCCCACCCACCCTGCTTCTCCTTCACAGGAAGCTGTGCCAGCCGCAGAGTGCAAGCAGCCTCCCTGGAGACTCCGCTGCCACCAGCCCTCCAAGAGAGCATGGGAGCTCGGTCTCACCCCCGCAGGTAGGAGCAGTGGACATGAGTGTGACATTGTGGAGATGCTGGTGCTTGTGGAGCGGATCTCACCCAGAGCCACTGGGCCTGACCCAGCCTTGATGTCTAGGGAGTCTATTAGGCCCTTGGCTCAGGGCTGGGACATTTTTTTCAATGAGTGAGCAGCTGTCGGGCTTCTTTTAGGCTGGAGGCCAGGGTCCAGGACCGGGGTGTGTTTCCCCTGGACACCTTACAGTGTGTGGCTAAGGGAGGACAAGCACTAGGCTGCTCTGAGTCTCATGTTTTGTCTGTATGTGGTTCTGCTGCCTCTCAGAGCCATTGAGGAGTCCATAAAATCCAGTGTTCTGGCTGCAAGACAAATGGCACCCAGTGGGGCGATGTGAGCTGTGGTGGCTGCTGCCATTGTAGTCAGTAGTCAGGAAGGGTGGCAGGGAGTGGAAGGAGGTGCAGCCCACCCAGCTCTGGGTGGGGTGGTCTTTCGCTCTGCCGCTCTCATCACTGCTTGAGCTTTTTGGTAAAAGCTGTCCCCAGCCACCTTTGTGCTCTGACCTGAGTCCCACATCCAGGCCCCTCCTCTCTCTCCTCCCCCTTCCCTTCTTCCCTCTCCCCCTCATCTCTCCCTCTCGCCTGGAATACTCAACCCATGTCCATGGCCACAAGGCCTCCTTGTGGAAAGGCTGGGTCCATGCATACACCCCAGCTGTGGGGCCTCCTCGCCTCACATGCCCCAGTGTAATCATCTGTGAATTGAGGATGAGACCCCGGGCTGCCCTCTGTCCCTCAGACTTGGCTCATTGACCATCTCTGTCGTCGGGGAAGACGCTGAGCAGAGCGACATTTCAAACCAATCTCTGGAGGTGGTCGGGCCAGTGCACAGATGACCTGGCCACCCTTCTTCTTCAGCACGTGTCCTTGGGGTGGGCTCCAAGGACCTGCCTGGTATCTGCGTGCCCCTGTGTGGCCAGAGTAGGCGGGCACTGGGTTTCCTGGGGCCCGGCCTCCCTGCTTACTTAGGTCGGGTAGGCCTGTTGCTGCTGAGCCACTCCCCAGGGGACACCAGTCACTCCAGACACAGGCTCCCTCTAATATGGTCTCCCATCCTTTCCAGAAACGCCCCCAGCCTCCTGATTTTATCGACCCTCTGGCCAACAAGAAACCAAGGATATCGCACTTCACACAGAGAGCTCAGCCCGCCCTCAATGGGAAGTTAAGTGTGCCCCACACCAGGGAAGCCCTGCTGCCCACCCCAGGCCCACTGACTGGCACAGATGCCCACCTACCTCCACGGCTGGATCCTCCGAGGGCACACGACCCTCTGGCTGATGTCAGCAATGACTTGGGCCACAGTGGCCGGGACTCTGATCGTGGGGAAGTGGCCACCTCAGTCCCCACTGCGTGCCTAAGCCTGCCCCTGCTGAAGGACTGTGCCCAGCCCAGCAAACCCCACAGCAGCTCGTCTCGTGGCAAGTCCAAGAAGAAGTACAAGAAGCACAAGGACAAGGAGAGGGCAGCTGAGGACAGGCCCCAGGCTGAGCCACCAGACCTTGTGCTTGGCTCCCTTGGAGCCCCACCAGGTGCCCCGGGTAGGTGCTGAGAGGCAGGCCCACGGGCCGGGGCTCTGTAGGAGGGCACTGCTGGCAGCCTGAGCACTGGCTCCACACAGTGCCAAGGGGTCTGCATTGCCCCACATGCCCCTGCGCTGGCTCACACTGCACCTTCAGCCCCTCTGCACTATGTTCTCACACCGGGCACCTGTGAGTGACCCAGAGGTCTCAGTCTTGGAGTCTCCGGCAGTCTTTCGTGTGCCAGGCCAGCACTGGGGGCTAAGACATGGGTTCCACCGAGCCGAGTCTCACAGGAGGGGCAGTGCATGGGGAGAGGAACAAGTTCCTGGTGCAAACACTGAAAGGAGCCAGGGCTGGGCAGGGGCCTGATGATCTCAGGGAAAGCTGTGCAGGTGGCCTGGTGGGAGAAGGGCCGCACCTGGATGCCATGGGCCTCATGTGTCCTGAAGAGCCTGTGGGGGAAGGGTTTGGGAGGTGGTTCATAGAACAGCAGGCAGTAAGAGCCAGAACAAGGTTGTGGAGCCAGTGACACAGCCAGTCAGGAAGACAGAGGTGGAAAGATCTAGGGCCTCAGCAGCAGGACGAGGGGTACAAGGCTGGCGCAGGCCATGTATTGAGCAGGAAGAGCGCTATGGGGCGCTGCAGAGGCATGTGGACTGGCCAGGCTGTCAGCAGAGCCTGGGCCACCCTGAGTTCACACCTGGGCCAGGCCCCTGAGCTGAGCACCCCATGTGGCTATAAACTTGGTCAGTGTGTGGCAGCACAATCATGACTCGCCCTTCACCGTCATGTGCAGGCAGTCCCAGGCTTGTCATCTGCTGCAGCTCTGGGATCATTTCCCCAGGCAGGGTCAGAGCGAGGGCCATTTCTGAGATACTACAGCCATTTTTGGCTTTTTAAGGAGTTGTTCAACTGCCCTCCAGAAAGGCTGCTACAGCCCTATCCTCTAAATGGAGGGCAGGTCCTGGTAGACACAGGGTCAGTCAGCTGGGTTTCTCTTGGTCCTGCTGTGCTGCTGGGTAGGCAGACTGGAAGAAGGTGGCCTGGTCCCCTGAGTGCCCCTGTGATCCCATCTTGCCCAGGAAGACAGGCTGTGAGCAGCCCGGCCCAGTAGCATGGTCTCTCCTGAATGATGGAAGCAAGACCCCTGTGCCTCTGGCAGGGCCCTGGGAAGGAGGGCGACTGGGACCAGAAAGATATAGCCCTAGCTGGCCCCGTGCACACTTGGGGCTCAGATCCTGCCTTTGGTGAATCAGCCAGGCAGCTTGTCCCCCAGTCCCTAGGCCAAGGTAAGAAAGTAAGGTTTAGAATCAGACAAACCAGGGAGTAGACGCCCCTGGGAAGAAGGCGATGATTGAGCACCAGAAGCCAAGCCTCGTGTTGATGATCATCTTAACCTACATCTTGAAGGGGGCTCACGTGATAACAGTAATGGGTGGGCACAGAGCCCCTCACGGTCCCTCAGAGCCCCCTTCACCCTATGCAGTTCTGTGGCTCTTTCTGGGGTATGGGCTGTGCTCAGTGTGTGCAGGCAAACACGCACGTGTAGGAACCATCCATCTTTCTTAACAGTGGCATTGTTGGCTGGCACCAGGCCCCTTCCCAAATGCCGGAGAACATTCTAGGTCAGCACCTGAGGAAGCGTCCTACATTGACTTAGCCTGCTCTTCTGCATGGCACTGTCCCCCAGTCTGGCCCTGTTGTCTCAGCCCTGCCTAATGATTGATCACCTCTGACCCCAATTGGTGCACCTGCCCCCACTGAGCCACTGTCTGGCCACCCTCTTCATCACCCTGTGTTACAGACCACTCCGGGGTCCTGTGCCCATCCCCCAGCTCTTATTCAGGCTATGGACCACTCCTGTGGCCTCAGGGTGCCTTCCTGGGCAGGCCGGCATGCTGGGTAGGGGGCTTGGGTTCAGCTCAGGCCCACTGACCGCTGTGGGCAGGTTGGGAAGCCCTTCTATCCTGCAGTGTGAACTCATTAGACACGTCCCCTCGCCCTTGTCCCTGGGAGGCACAGGAGAAGCTAGTGGAGTAATGGAGATGTGGGGAGAGAAGCAGCTGTGGGGGCTGTTGCCACTGAGGCCGAGGCCCCATTGCAGGAAACCCCTCTGCCAGTACAAGGGAGGCCAATACTCCAGCAGGCAGGACCCCAAAGGTTTGTTGAGCCTCACGGCAGAACATCTCAGGAGGCCTGCCTTAAGCCAGGCATGTGTCATGGGAACATGGACTAAACTCTCTACTACGGATCCATCAGGCTTTAGCCCAGGGAGAGCACAGCCTCCTTAAAGACAACACACTCACGTGCTGCAGCGTGGCCTGGTGCCCAGATGCCTGCTACCCAAGTGTGGAACCAGCAGAGAGCTTGGCAGACCTCTGTCACTGAGGATATGCTACAAAGTAATAAAACCTCTTCTACGCTGGGAAAAGCCATTGGAGAAGCTGGCAGGGGAGGTGAGGGTAGACACACTGGATTGCCGTTTCAGTTGACTACGGCCCCGGTTGGCCTTGGTCTTGTGTCCTCGAGCCTAGCACAACCACCTGGGGTGTGCCCAGCCCAGCTCTGTTTTGGGGCTATCCTTTGGGTCCCAAAGTCCTCTGTCTGATGGGAAGAGTGGGAGCATTAGGTGGACCTCGGACCACTCACTCCGTCAGCAGAGAGAGGTGTAGGCAGGTTCAAGGTTTCCCCTGGGGCCATCTGTCTTTGGGCTTCATGGCCGGAAACCAAACACCCTGGGGACTTGTTTGCTCTGCACTTGCACAGCTGTGGTTCAGGAACATACATGCGAACATGATGAAAGGCTGAGGTTCCCCTGGGTCCATCAGGATCCCACGGTCTCTCACAGTCCCTCCATGTCCTTCAGACAACAAAGCATGAACCTCTTGCAGATTTTGTTTGGTCTTTGTAGGTTTAAATGGGACCTGCAACAACTCGAGTGTCCCCACATCAACCTCAGAGACACCCGACTACTTGCTGTGAGTACTTCCTTTCAGCCAAATCTTCTCCCAGGGGCTTATCCCCTGCCATCCCCTGCCATCCCCTCCCTGCACTGCAGATCAGCAGCAGCAAGACTGAGTCTGAGTCCCCATGTGTGGGTTCCAGCCACTCACCCTGTACTAGGCCAGGCTCCTGCTTGAGTTGGCAGGGCCCTTCCTGGGTGGGGCTCTCTGCACAGCCACAGGCACTGCAGCCTCTCTGCAGCAGCCCCTGAGCCCCACCATTCTCTCTCCCATTTCCAGAAAATACGCCACCATCTCCTCATCGGAGCAGCGCCAGAGCTATAAGAATGACTTCAATGCTGAGTACAGTGAGTACCGAGACCTACACGCCCGCATCGAGCAGATCACCCGGCGCTTCACACAGTTGGATGCCCAGCTCCGGCAGCTCTCCCAGGGCTCCGAGGAATACGAGGTAGGGCCCACTGCCCACACCTGACCCCGGTGAGGGGTGGGCCTGTTTCTCACAGTTCAGCTAAGCCCAAGGCCTCCAGACCCAACCCTTGTCATCCCTGTTGAGGAGGGTCTGTGCCAGCATTTTGCCCCTCGTGGACTGGCAGGTGGCCACTCCTTGCTGGTCACATGGTTGAGGCCTATCCCTGGGCTGTGCCACTGGAGCCTGAAGGCTCTCTGCCTGCTTGGCCTCTGCAATGGGGACAGTGGAGCCAACTCAGCAGGTGGCACATGAGCCCTGGTGATGAGGGTGAGGCTTAGAGCAGCCAGGATGGCGAGGCCAGGGAGCAGTGGGCCTGGGCTGTGTCCCACATGGGGTCCTCTCTGCAGCCCACTACCCCCATCACAGGGTGCACCTGGCCAGGAGGGGAAGGGCCAGGCCACACGGCACCCCATGGCCCATCTGTGCACTGTCAGAGCCACCGTGGGAAGTGGGAGAGGATGGAGCATCCTTGTGGTCCTCCTACCTGTACCAGGAGTCCCTTATCCTCTGGCATAGGGCACGTACTCTCCCTAAGCCCCTATATGGGAGCTCCCTGCAATGAGAGTTGGTCACCGGCTCTGGGGCACCAGCCTCCTGCTTGGGCTACTGCTCAGAACTGATCACCTGACTACAGGGCCAGCCATAATTAATCAGGGGTCGGGGTTTGTCTCCACTGGCAGAGGCCACTTTGGTTTTCAGAGGAGACAGCTGATTGGAGGAGCAGTGGGGATTCTCAGGTTCTGGGACAGATGAGCCCCCAGGGATCCCCATCCTTTCTGGCCCCATGTGGATTTGCCCCAGGATTTCCCTGCACACTCAGGTAGTCAAGGGGCCTCTGCGCTTAGCCATGAACAGTGGGCAGGCCAGCTGGGCTACAAGGGAAGGAGGCCGCCTGCCTGTTCTTTGCCCCCTCCCACTGTGCTGGCTCGTCCCTGAGGCTGGGCCCCTGCACTTTGCCCCAGGTCCAGCTTCCTTCCCCCAGCCCGCCCTTCCTCTGTTCTTAGGTCATCTCCCCTCAAGGCCACCTGGAGGCTTATTGTCCCCAGGCCAGTGCTGACATGCAGGTCATGGGTTATCAGTGAGCCCCCACCCCCCAAACTCACTTGGAGCTTCCTACAGGTGAAGGCATTGTTTTCTTCTTTTGTTTTTCTCTAGACTACTCGTGGGCAGATTTTGCAGGAGTATCGCAAAATCAAAAAGGTAAGTCTCCACCCCACAGTAGAGGTGGTAGGGAGCAGTCTCTGTCCGTGCACCCCAGTGCCCTCCAGCTCTCCCACTGCTCAGTGCGCACTCGTATGGTCAAGGAAAGGAGATGAAGTTCCCAGCTTCAGCTGCCAGCCTGGCAGGGTTGCCCGTTCTTGTGGGCTCTAGGCTCTCTCCTCGGGGTCCCTGAAGAGCTGTAAATTGGCTCCTCACTGATGCCTGGCCAGGGCAATGTCAGCTTTTATTCCTGAAGGTCACTAGGTGTGGGTTACCACATGTGTGACCTGAGTGCCAGCTGGTTCCTTGCCAGCCGTGCCCTTAACCCAGCTTGGAGGCTTCATGCTGGTCATGCCTCCAACTCTCACCCTGGCCACAATGCCATTTCCCATGGTAGGGCCTGGGGCTTAGGAGAGACACCAGACCAGGGCTCTAGTCCAAGGTGGAGCAGGGGTCCCTGTCACTGCCCAGTGGGCCCTGGCCTGTAAGCAGGAGTAGTGGGAGCCCCGAATGGCCAGCAGGCTAGCCATCTCCACGCAGGGCAGCCCCCATTACAGCCATGCTCCAGGGTGCCGTGGCTGCAGAACAGGGCTCACCCTGCCACTCTGTTGCAGACCAACACCAACTACAGCCAGGAGAAGCACCGTTGTGAGTACCTGCACAGCAAGCTGGCCCACATCAAGAGGCTCATTGCTGAGTATGACCAGCGGCAGCTGCAGGCTTGGCCCTAGCCCAGGCCATAGGACAGGAGCTTCCCCACCCTGGATCAGGGGAGCTGGGGCAGGGGGGCGGGGGGAGCTAAAAAATGGGGGGAAATTTATTTAACAAAAATAAACACAAGGAAGACACGTTCATCTGAGCCAGCAATGCCGGCTTTCAGGAGAGCCCCTGCAGACCTGGCACCCACAGGTCACAGATCCAGATGGGGTGTCCCGATCCCTGGCCCCCATACCTCCTGAGCAGCCCTTGCCTGGAACAAGCTCCCTAGGAAGCCCACCTCTTCACTGACTACAGCCCAAGGGAAGACTTGGCTGGCCTGCCTGCCTTTTCTAGTTTTATACAAAGACAGCCACTTTTAGCTATTGCTCATGAGACTTGAGTCTATTTTTGTATGAAAGAGAAAGCATCTTTTTTCTAAACCTGTGCCTCCCCCTCTTTGGATGCCTAGGGTCTAGATGCTGCCCTGTGTTCTTTCTGCAGTATTACAGATGCCATTGGAAAGTCTGGGCAGGGGACCGGCCTTGGTCACCTTTCCCATGCTGGGCTCTGGCTGAGTGCCTAACCAGGCTCTTCAGGCCCAAGCAAGGGTGGGCTCTCTCTAAGGGGGTGTGCAGGGTACGTCAACCCCCCAGTCTATTTTGAGAACTCCAGCTGGCCCCCAGAGCAGCTGCTGGAGCCCCTGGCCTGTCCACTATTTCAGGCCCTCAGCTGTCAGGCGCTGGGGTTCTCTGTGCTACAAGCTCGTTATGCAGCAACAGTGCTGGACTTTATTCCGTGTTCTCAATTTCCCCTTTACTGCTGCTTTTCATGTACTGTTGAGACCTCACTCTGTTTCTCAGTCCCCTGTGGGTCCTGGTGTTGTCCTAGCAGAGCCACCATGGGGTATGCACTCAGGGAGGGGCTGGGGATTGGTGGGGTCAGGGGACCCCTGAGAGTGAGCTCAGAAGAGGCTCCCAGTCCACCCACTCTGGGGACACAGGCTATATGGACACCCCAATTGCTGCTTAGTTACTGTGCCTAGTATAGTGTCCTCCAGAGCACCGGGGAGCCATGTGTGTGTTTGTGTGTGTGCGCATGACCCTGGGTGCCAGGGCGTGGTGGGGTCTGAGGGTTGTACTCAGATTCAGGGCCACCTTCAGGGGGTGGAGGGTAACTGACCACACCGCACAGGGGAGCAGCAGTGCTCACAGGCACAGCCGTGTGTAAGCTGTGGGGTGTCTCCTGCTGGTTTCCCAAAGAGCAGGCCCCTCATGAACGCCTGCCCTGTGCTCACCCCACAGTCTTTTCCACAGGCCCCTGGGTGTCCAAGCAACGAGGAAGCTCACCCTTCATGTTTCCGTAGCTATTGTGTTGTTTTTCATTTGGGACAGAGTGGACAAAGGGCTGAGAAAACTCGGGACCCTGAGTTGTGTAGACAGCCACGCGTGTGGATGGGCAGACTAGTGACAAGGGATTGTTGAAGGAGGCCCAACCCTCTGCCCTGGGAACCTGGTCAGGGGATTCTCAGATGAATTTCCTTTTGGTTGTTTGTTTTTTTCCCTTCCTTTTAAGGAATTACGAAGCTAAGAAAAGTTTTATGCTTTGGGGGTTGATGGACAAAAGTTATAGGTGATTAAATATGGTCTTAACTTATTGATACTGTTATTTTTTTCTTTTAATATTGTACTGTGGAGAAAAACTATATTGAGCCATGGAGTTGGTGTTTACAAGAACTTTTCACTTTTGCCAAAATGTTACAATTGAAAGCATCCACGTCTGCAGTTTCCTAATATTTTCTTAAAGATCTAGTGTCCTTTTTGTACACTAAACAGGTGAATGCTGATTTTTTTCAACCTACAATAAATTTCACTGAACTGAATGTAGCAGCCCAGGCTGTGTGTGTGTGCGTCTGTCTGTCTGTCACAGCCAGGTGGCCCTGGTCCTGTGTGGGGCTGGGCTGGGGCCAGGCCATGGTGACTGGGCAGCCTGCCTGAGCCACTGCCCAGGAGTGAGGCCAGCAGGTGGAGGCTAACCTGAGTCAGTGGGCCCTACAGGTGCCAGGGCAGGAGGCCACGACCGCCCGGTCACAGGTAAGAAATGACAGAGAAACTGGGGAGGCAGGTGTGTGAGCAGGGCAGTGGACCCCCCCTCACCACCACCTGCAGTATGGACAGGGTGGGCTGAGTCTAGCGGGGGGTCCCTCAGGCCTGCAGCAGCACCATGTGGAGAGAGGAGAGTGCCCTTATTTGGGGAAACAAGCTGTGACTGATGACAACAGTGGTAATTTTATTGTTTGTTCCTCCTAGGCTGGCACTCTAGGGCGTCCCCTGTGTCCCCAGTTGGGATGGGGACGATGAGGCCCATTGGAGCCCCACAGGCCCATGGCCATCCTGTCCCATGTTCCAGGTGAGGAGCCAAAGGCAGAAGTCCTGGCCTCCAAGGACAGAGTGGGGAGTGGGCATTTATTTTGGGAGGAAAAAACAGATAAAGGCTAAGACCAGGATTAATGTCCAGGGGTCAGGGCTGTGGGCCTCAGCCTCCCTGGTGGCCCCCTGGCCAGTGACCTTGGCCTGAATTCTGAGAAGGCCCAGGGATCCCGGGAGCACGGGGAGGTGAGGTCAGGCAGGCCTGGTAGGGCAGAGTGTACCCTGCCTCCTCCTGTCACGCCTCAGCTTGCCCGCCCATCCACCTCCCACCTCTGACAGCCTTGTCCGCAGCCCCCCACACTGCCTGGCGCCACCCTGGCCATCGCCTCGTTAGTGTGCTGCAGCTGCAGGCAGTTGGTTCCCTGACTGTCCTTCCTATGCCAAGGACGCCATGAGTCCAGCCCACTCAGGGACCCAAAGGGTCTGTCCCTACACCATGGCTCTTCAAGACCTCAAGACCTACACCATGGCTCTTGGGGCTGCTCACCCTCTCCTGCTGCTTGTCCTCCCACCAGCACTGGACCCCAGAGCTGCTCCTGTGCACTAGGCTCCCCCTGGGCATTGGCACTCAGCAGTAACCAAGATAGCTCTCTGCCCATGTGCTTGGGAGCCTGTGGTCGGGTGAAGACAGTGGTCTGGTCTAGACAGTGGTCCCCAGTTGCCACCTGCCCCTAAGCAGCATATTCACCCGATGTTGCACACCCAGCAATCCCAGCAATTGTCTTACAGTGAGGAGTAGCCCCCAGCTGCCCCCAGCACTGCCCGGCCACAGAGCCTGTCTGGGCCCGCTCTGCCCTAAGCCTCCTGCTGGCACTTGCCACATGCTGCCCTGGGAATGCCAAGGTTCCTTAGGGCTGTGTCTTGGGGCCTTTCTCCTCTCTACATACATTCCCATGACATCACATCTGGCCTGGAGGTATGAGCTCCTCCTGTGACCCTCTGATATCCAACGGTTCAGTTTCTGGAGCTGGCATCACACCCCACAGGTTAAGCTGCTCAGCCCCACAAGACTGCCCCCCACTTCAGACACCAGCCCACCTATACTTCTGAACATCTGACTATAAATCAGGATTTCGGACGACCCCCCTCGTAGGTTTGGTGATTTGCTAGAATGGCTCACAGTGCTCCCAAGGGAGAGATGGCGGAGGCAGGGTGTGGGGACTGGCCCAGGGCTACCATGCCTGCTCTTGGTGTGTCACCTTCCCAGCACCTCATGTTTTCAGCCACACTCCGCCGTTGAGGGGGTTTTATGGAGGTTACGTTTATGAGTAAATCACTGGCCACTCATGATCAAATTCAGTCTCCCCCCAAGAACCAGGACAAAGCCAAAATATTTACACCTTATTCTTTCCCCTGAGGGTCTGCCGTGGTTCCCCACACCACCTCTGCACCCCAGCCACCTTTTCATTTGCTCCTGAACCCATGCCCCAAGGTTTTTGTTTGGGCAGCCATTTGTATCTCTTGATAAGATATGTCTTCAGATCTCAAGTCCCCTTCTAGCCTTCCCTGACCAGCCCTCCCTCTGAGTTCCCTCCAGCTGGGGGTGCCCCAGGCTATTACCAACTCCCCTACACTGGGGGCCCCTTGAGAGCAAAGCCAGGGGCCATTCTTAAGGCCCCACCCTCCAAGGCCGGGGCCCTGACCATGTTTCCTGCCAATGTTCCCAACTATCCACCCACCTTTTGGGCCAACTCCAGTTGTGGAAACTTTTCAGCCAGAGGAGGCCTCTTGTTTTGGAAAGTTCCTGGGGAGCCACCCCCGCCCGCCCGCCAGGTTCCCACGCTCTCTTATCACTGAGTGCTAGTGGGATGCAGTGCTCTGCAAGCCTAGCTCCTCCCCAGCTGGCTGCCTGGGCCTTGCCCATTCCCTTTTCTCCCCGGCCCATCCATCTAACAGCGGCCCCCCAACCTGGCCCTGCCAAGCCCTCCTGCTACAGCTAGGGAAACCTTTCTCTCCCAGGAACTCGCCCCACGCCTCCTCTCCGCCTCTCAGAACCCCCACATGTGAGAGCCCTATCAGAGGTCTGAGCGCTTGGTGGGTGCTGCTACTCGGGAGGGAAGGGGAAGCAGCCTGGGCTGGAAGGCAGTTTGGCATTGAGATGTAAATCCTAGCTCATTCCGCTGACCCAGTTTCCCCTGCAGTATGTCCGACCCAGGGACACCCACCCTCGTAGGCCCAGCCATCCTGCCTTGTGACTGGGCCTAGTGCTTTAATGTTTTCTTTTGTGAAGTGGGGCTAAGATGCAGCGTGCCCTAATAAGACTGTGTTGCGACGTGAATCAACATACCCCATGCAGGGGTCGGGGTCTATAACCCACGTGGGTGCCCACAGCGAGCGGTGGGGCGGGTGTGTGATAGCCTCGTGGGCTCTGCGCTGCTGAACCTCGAACCCGAGTCCAAGGCCAGCGTGCCCCTCCCCCCTGCATCCCGCTCCACAGTGCTGGGCGAGCGAGGGGCGGGGCATGGGCGGGGCCACAGCTCTTTTCTCTTGAGTTCGCGCGCCCAGAACGTCAGCCTTGCGCCGCTGTCTGAACCGACGCTGCTGGTGAGTGGGATATGGGGGAACCCGGGCTGCGTGTAGGTCTGGAGAATCGAGGTCCGCTGGGCCAGTCCTCGTGTTCCCGCTGACTTCCTGCCAATCCTATGTCCCCAGCTCGCTGTGATGGAGGCCGGAGCCCAGTTTGTGGTTGAGAGCCCCAACGTGGTCTATGGCCCCGAGGCGATCGAGGCGCAGTACGAGTACCGGACAACTAGCGTCAGGCGCGAGGGTGGCACCCTCAAGGTGGGCAAGGGAAGCCCGGCGTTGGGGAGCCCACAGAGCCGGAAGCGGGTGGGTTGGCCCAACGTCTGCAGCCCGGGACTCACTGCACTGCCCGCCCCTAGGTGCACCCATCCTCCACGCACTTCACCTTCCGGACTGCCAGGCAAGTGCCCCGGCTTGGAGTCATGCTCGTCGGCTGGGGCGGCAACAATGGCTCCACGCTCACCGCTGCCGTGCTGGCCAACCGACTGCGCCTATCCTGGCCTACCCGCATGGGTCGCAAGGTGGAGGGTCAAATGGGGTGTTATGGAAGTTAGGACTCTGCAGGAGTCCGTGCAGGAGGGGACCGGCCCTGAGAGATTGGGTCCACGAGAGGGGTTTCCACAGGGCAGAGGCTAAGGTGCCAAGGTGCTGGCGGTCTCTGGAGAGAGACTTCGGGGGGTGGGGGGAGAAGGGGCTTTTGGCTTGGAGCAGAGCCAAAGCCCTCCCACACTGTGCCCACCGCCACCATCATCACTCCGTCTCCTCCCTCCCACACCACACCCAGGAGGCCAACTATTATGGCTCGCTGACGCAGGCTGGCACCGTTAGCCTGGGCCTGGATGCTGAGGGCCAGGAGGTGTTCGTACCCTTCCACGCACTGCTGCCCATGGTGTCGCCAGATGACCTCGTGTTTGATGGTGGGCGGGGCCCGGGGCAAGGGGTGGGGTGGGAGGCGGGGCCTGGAGGGGCCCAGCTGAGGGCCTGGCCTAGCCTGAGGGTTGCCCCCAGGCTGGGACATATCATCACTAAACCTGGCCGAAGCGATGCGCCGTGCGCAGGTGCTGGATTGGGGGCTGCAGGAGCAGCTGTGGCCACACATGGAGGCCCTGCGCCCAAGGCCCTCGGTCTACATCCCCGAGTTCATCGCAGCTAACCAGAGCGCGCGTGCTGACAACCTCATCCCTGGCACGCGGGCGCAGCAGGTGCAACACTTGTTCTCACTACCATTTGCCCCTTTCACTGCCACCTGTTTCCCATTTACCCCCGTTTTGCCCCCCACACCACATTGTCCCCTTGCCTCCATCCCAAGGGTCCAGGCTCCTCTTTGCAGTTGGGGAACTGAGTAGCTCAGGCCCCCACAGGTCAGGAGGCCTGTACTACCTTACCCCTTCCCTAGCTGGAGCAGATCCGCAGAGATATCCGTGATTTCCGGTCTCGCGCGGGGCTGGACAAAGTCATTGTACTGTGGACAGCAAACACGGAGCGCTTCAGCGAATTGGTCCCTGGCCTCAATGACACTGCTGAAAACCTGCTGCGTACCATCCAGGTGGGTGTACCCAGGGTGGATCATGGTCAGGGCCAGCCCAGAGAACCCCTCTACTGACTGTCCGCTTGCACCCACAGCTAGGTCTGGAGGTGTCACCCTCCACACTCTTTGCTGTGGCCAGTATCTTGGAGGGCTGTGCCTTCCTCAATGGGTCACCACAGAACACTCTAGTGCCCGGCGCACTTGAGCTTGCTTGGCAGCGCCGTGTCTTTGTGGGAGGAGATGACTTCAAGTCAGGCCAGACCAAGGTCAAGTCCGTGCTAGTTGACTTCCTTATCAGCTCCGGCCTCAAGGTGCATGGGCCTGGGGGGGTGCGTGGTTCAGGGGGTGGGGTCTAGACCCTGAGCTCCAGGCTGTGCACTGAGGGGCCTCAAGTGTCAGCAGGGACTCCTTGTTCCCACAGACCATGTCCATCGTGAGCTACAACCACCTGGGCAACAACGATGGGCAGAACCTGTCAGCGCCGCCACAGTTCCGCTCCAAGGAGGTGTCAAAGAGCAGCGTGGTGGATGACATGGTTCAGAGCAACCCTGTGCTCTATGCACCTGGCGAGGAGCCGGACCACTGCGTGTGTTGGGCGCAGATGACGGGGGAGGGGGGGTGCATTGGGGGGCCCCAGCAGAGGAAGGTGGGCCCATGTGACTCCTTGCCGCCCCCCAGGTGGTTATCAAGTACGTGCCGTACGTGGGTGACAGCAAGCGCGCAATGGATGAATACATATCAGAGCTGATGCTGGGTGGCACAAACACACTGGTGCTACACAACACCTGCGAGGTGTGGAGTGTGTGGGGGGAGGACTGGGATCCCCCCACCTGCCTGCCTACCTGCCGCCTGACCCACTGGCCCCACAGGACTCACTCCTGGCCGCACCTATCATGCTGGACCTGGTGCTGCTGACTGAACTATGCCAGCGTGTGAGCTTCTGCACGGACTCGGACCCAGAGCCACAGGGCTTCCACCCAGTCCTGTCGCTGCTGGGCTTCCTCTTTAAGGCGCCGCTGGCTCCACCAGGCAGCCCTGTGGTTAACTCACTCTTCCGACAGCGCAGCTGCATTGAGAACATCCTCAGGTGTGTCCCACCCTTGGTCCTATACTCACTCTTGGGGGTGCGCACAGGGCCCTAGGGATGGGAGGCCCTGCTGAATGCCCACCTGTCCTCCAGGGCCTGCGTGGGGCTTCCACCGCAGAACCACATGCTTCTGGAGCACAAGATGGAGCGCTCCAGCCTCAAGCAAGCTGGTCATGTGGCTGCCTGCCATGTATCTTACAAGAAAGAATCGGCACCAGCGGCCCCCAATGGCTGTACTGGTGATGCCAATGGGCACTCACAGACTGAGGCACCCCTGATGCCCACCACCTGAGGTGGTAGCCATACAGCTCCCACGACTCCTACCCCTATTTCCCCTCTGGACCCGCCCTCCCAGACTCCTATACAATAAAAGCACTGTTACGTATCAGCAACACCTGTGGGTTTGCGGGGCTTCAACCTGACCATGATACCCCCCGTTATTTCTCACCTGGTAGGACTCCTACCTACCCTTCAACACTTGTCTCAACCCTTAGGGACCTTCCAGAACCCCCAAGGCTTCTGCCTAATCCAGCCCTAAGGGTGGGGCTACAAACCAAAATTAAGTAATCTCCAGACCAAGTACCAAAAACCAAAACAAGTTACATTTATTGATGGGGCCCACCCCTTGCCGTCCAGAGGAAAGGAAGTCCCAAAGGAGTCCCCCAGGACAAAAAGAACTGGAGGGTGGGGGTTGGGCCCACATGGAAAAGAACATCTCTGAGGTCCTTGCGTTTTTGTATTTTTAATAAAATGAGGGTCCTTTGCGGGGGTGGCCTCCCAGCCTTGACCAGGAGTCCGGTTGCCCAAGGTATGACCTCATACCCTCCCCTGCAGACCACCCGAGCCACTGGCCCTTGGCCCCAGGCAGGGGCGCTGGGCAGAGGACGAGGCCAGCTGTGGGCAAGGGGCTACTGCCCCGTCACACGCTCATGGTCATCCCAGGCGAGTACTGCGGAGAGACGAGGGGGTGGCGCGCGGGGGCGGGCTCAGCTCCGGCCTAGGCTGGGACCCGCCCCCCGCCCCCCGAGAATGGACAAATGGACCAATGGGGCTTATGTGCAGTGGGAGTGGGGGCGGGGTGGGGGGCAGGTATAGAAGTTAGGGAATTGAGGCCACCCTGGGGCAAGGGTCACTGGGTGGGGACAGGGTAAGGACGTGACACCAGGGCAGGAGTGGGGAGGGAGAGCAGGGGAAGGATGCCGCGGCCGCCCCCCCACCTGGCCCGCCGCAGTCACGGTCTTGCTCTGGCCCCCCGGCCGCCCCGCCGGGGCCTGCCCGCCAGGCCCCTCCGGCCCGACGCCGCCGCGGGGGGAGAGTCGACGCAGTCGCTTACGCTTTCGCTCGGGAATGGGTGCAGGAAAGTCCCGGTGGCCGCCATCTCGCCGTCATCCCGTGGGGTGCCCGGGGCGGTGCTCAGGCCGGCCACTGCGCCGGGGGAGCTCTGGGGGCAGCTGCAGTCAGCGCGAGACTTCGGTCCTGCCCTCCCACCCTACACACCAGCCCTGCCGGAGTGAAGCTTCTCACCTTCGGCAACCCGTCCACGTCGCCCGAGCCTGTGGATGACAAACACACGGAGTCACGCGGCTCAGACGCGCCTGCTCTGGGGTCCTCCGCAAACATATCCCCCAACCATAGCAGGGCCCACCCCCTCTGCCCGGCCTGCCAGGGGCCCAGGGAGGAGGCCTGAAGGGGTACCAATGCTGGCAGCCAGGCTTCCCCGCCATTTAGTTATCGGACCCTCCCTCAGCACAGCCCACCTCACTAAGTCATCCACAGAAGCTCAGGGCACAACCCAGATGCCCCTACATGGAACACAGGTTCAGACACGGTGGAGGGGGGGCCCTCAGTGGAAGCATGAGGCTAGCAAAGCAGCCCGTGAGGGGTGGGTCCCGGCCGCCCACTCACCCAGGGATCCATTCACGTGGTGAGGTTCCAGCGCACTCATGGCTGCCATGGGGCCCTCCGGGCTGGGGCCCAGTGGGAACTGTGGGCAGAAGGACTGGGTGGGACTCGGGCCACCACCCTGCCAGCTGGGCCATCACCTTCAGCAGCCCCTACCCTACAGCTGCCCACTTACATTAGCCCTGCCAGCACCCGGCCCGATGGGGTTCATGATGGTGTACATGTTCTCGCTGGAGTTGGTGGAGTCTGGGGAAGATGACGCAGGAAGGCCTGGGTTTGGGGGCCTCCCTCAAACACCCCCCCACACCCCACCCAGACCCTAGTACCTCCAGGACTGGGCATGATAGGTGTTCCAGGGGGCCCACCGCCTCCTGGGGGTCCCTGCATGCAGAGGTAGACAAAACATTAGAAAGGCCCCCACCTGCCACCCTGTTCCCCCCACCATCTTATTGCTGAATGCCAGCCCCACTCACTGTGTAGCTGCCAGGGGAGGAGGCAGAATAGGGGATCTAGGAAGAGGGGCAGCAGTGAGCAGTTGGCAGACTGTACCCTCCACACCCCTAACCCAACCCACCCCCACTCCCCAACTCACCGAGTTGCCACTGGGGCTGGCCCACGGACCACGTACTCCAGGGCCCCTTTTAAAAGATGGTGAGTAGAACCTGGGGCCGGGCCAGGCAGCACACCACCCCCAACCCTGACCCAAACAGCAGATGTTGGCTATGTGGTAACCACTTGGAAATCTCAACCCCTCACTCACTGGCCTTTGGGCCTCAGTTTCCCCAACCAACAGTGGAATAAATAATACCCGACGCTGCTGTGCTGATCCAGCCCCAAGAAGCTGGACTGTGGCCCCTGGGGGCACACTCTGAGGGTCCCTTAGGGGCCTTACATGTTCATTGTGGGCAGGCCTGGGCCAGCGAGGGAGTTGGGTGGGGGCCGCATGCCACTTCCGTAGCTCTGTGAGGGGGAAAGGGCCCTGAGTGCAGGCCAAGAGGGGAGACCCCCTGAAGCCCCCTAGGTCTACCCCTTACCTGGGGCCCAACGCCGGCCATCCCCCGTGGAGGAGTCACCCTCTGCATTGGGCCCATGTTCGGATGCCCTGGGGTGGGGGCAGAAGGAAGGTGGCTCAGGTCGGGACCACTCCCCAGTGTGGACACATGCCTGGGGGAGGGACAGCTGCACAGTGAGGCAGCAGGGAGGGGGCACTTAGAGCCGGGGTCCTGATGAGTCATGGAGGACGCCAGCTGGAGCTTCTCTACTCACCCTGAGCACGTGGGGAGGGGTCCATGGTGCTAGGGAGGAGGGGCTGGGAGCCAGGGAGGCCCACAGGAGGCTGCAGAGGGGGCATGGACCACTGAGTGTGGGTGTCCCCACCCTGGCCCAGCTCCTGCCCGCCCTCCATCCGTCTTCCCTCTCTCACCTGACTTGGCATCCGCAGGGTGGGCCGGGGGCCCCCCGGGAACCGCGGTGACATGAAGGGCTGGAAGAGGTGGGCCAGGGATCAGCACCTCTCCCCCACCCATTCACCCCCTCCCAAAGCTACCTGGCTCCTGCTGCGCCCGGGCCCAGAACCTGGCTTGCGCCCTCCTCCAGGCCCAACTAGCAAACCACAGCAGCTGGCTCCTGGTGCGTGCGAGCGCAGAGGGCTGCATGTGTGGTCAAAGGGGCAGGTTGTCACAGGTCCTTACCTGAATGTGAGGCCCCATCATTGGGGTGTTGAGGTTGTGGGGGGGTGGTTGGGAGCCAGGGGGACCCTAGGACAGAACCAGATGGGTTTGGAAGAGCTGGGTCACCTGAAACTCCACTGTTTCCTGAGGCCCTGCTGAGTCTGGTCAAGGGAGGGGAGGGGTTGCCATGGAGGCAAGAGGGTGGGCCACTCACCAGTCAGCAGGACTGGGGGTATCCCCTAAGGAGGGGTCATGGGCGTGGGCCCAGGCGCCCTGGCACACTCACCCCACCCTCTCCTGCACTGGGGCCCAGATCCTATAGCCCCTCCTTTGCCAGCACCACCAAGGCCTGCATGTGCGTCCCACCACATCCACAACCCTCCCCCCAACTCCAGCCTGCCTGGCTCCAGCCTCTCCCAGTGTGGGACCCACACCTGTCTCTCTGTCACATGTGCGCCCAAGGAAAGGGAAGGGTCCCAGCCCTGGCTGTACCTGGAAGAAGCCAGGCGCCATGGGGCCTGCTGCCATGGCATCGCTGGGGGCTATGCTCCCCATCACCGGACTGGGGGCAGCTGCAGCACTCTGCAGGGTGGACAACACACAACGGTTCGGTCAGGCCGCTTCTGCCCAAGTGTTCCCTCTTCCCAGCAAGTAGCCAGTCCCACAGAACAGGGAACCCTAGCCATCTGACCCTCCGTCCACGCACGGGAGGGTGGGTCCTCTGGGAGACGAAGCAGCTGCCCCTGTTCCTGCACCAGTTTGACAACCCTAACAGGTCCACAGACTCTTTATTTGCTGGGTGGCCTTGCAGGGGCTCTGCCTCCGTGCTGCACCTGGGAACCTGGAGGTAGTCAGGGCCCAGCCAGGCTGGGCCCAGAGCCCATGAAGAAGGCCAGGAATCCAGAGATCTCAGTCCCCAGAGTCCTGAGCCTGAGGACTGTGGGGGTCTAAAAATGTCAGCCACAGGGGACTGGCATACACACAGTCAGTTGTCCAGCACAGGCTGATTTCTTTCCATACAAATCCAACTTCCGTTGGGTAGGGGCACCGTCCCCCACCCCAGGCCCTTCCCAACACAACCTGTGTCCTCCTGGCTAGCACGGCAGCTTAGCTAGACCCCTAGCTCTACTCAAAATGTGCCAAATAAACAGACAAAAGATCAACAGCTTCAAGATGAACCTCCCTTTCCAGGGCTCCTCCGCAGAGGGGCTGTGCAGACCACTCCCCAGCCCTCCAGGAGGGGCTGGGGGAAGAGACGGACTTGCCGGGTGCAGTGCCCAGGCCCCCAGCCTCTCCTCAGATGGAGGAGGGGAGAAGGCCAGGTGCTAGAGGGCATTATCCTGTGGGCCAAGGGCAGAGGACAGGGGACAGGCTGACAAGTCACTTGCTCTGGTCAGTTGCAAGTCCCAGGCTTGTCAGCCTTTGGGGGCAGAGCAGTGGGGAGGAGGGATGGAGGGCTAGTCTACAGGGCAGAGGGGACACATCGAAGAGTAAGAAAGGGCACTGAGCAGAGAGCGCTTCTTATGAGGGCCCCACTCCTTTCTGTATCACCCACCCCTTCCCCCGCCAGGCCCCAGGAGGAAGGGGACAGTGTGTCTCCATTACTGCTGTTCCAAGGCTGGCGCAAACAGCACCGGGTGCTCAGGAATTGGTGGAACTGCAGCCACTCGGGCTCGGAGGGGTTAAGAACTAGCCCAGTCACACAATACTTCCTGCCCAGCAGGAGTGGGGCAAGGGGCCCCTGAAGACCAGCCCCTCCCTAAGGGAAACTGCAGCCTGGCACCCTTCCTGCTCCTTCTCAAAGGTCTGCCTGTAAAGGACT